TCTTTGGCTATGTATATTTTCACCAAAAAAAAAACGTCAAGAAGGGAGAGGGTTGACATGTCGTGGGGTTGTTAACCAATGTCATAAAACAATATGTGTACTATTGTTTCATGAGAAACTATTTGTTCTGTAAACTTTCACCTGAAGTACAATAAAAAAATAATAATAATAATTCTAGGAAACCATAGCTAGTTCTTTTATGTCAGGACCCAAAAGGCAGTTGGCTGGGGTATTAATATTTAGAGTCTCACCTTGGCTTTGCCTCTGCAGAAAATCATGTGTATTATTCACCAGAGAGAAGCTGGTCTCTGATCATTTAATTCATCCCAACTAATTTAATTTAATCCATCCTAATTAAACTTGCTTTCAAGTTTAATTTATCCTAATTAATATGCTTCCAAGCTAGAAGCATAATTTCTTTATTCATTATGAGAAATATGCCAGCTGAATGACTGGTCAGTATATTTTCCCAGTTGGGAAATCTACTGAGAAACCAAATATAGATGCAAAGGTTGCTTCATTGACATGGAGTTAGAATGTAGAAATCAGGTGTTTTTATGACATTGTTGAGCTATGATAGTAACTAAGAAAGGCAGGTCACTAAAGAGGCTTTCTACCAAACTAGCCAGAAGCCTTAGAATCATTCGGAGATGCTTTTAAGCAAAGTATTCCAATGACTCGACCCACTTTATTAAACTCTTGGGAAAACTAGAGTTAGGTCAGGCAAAGACTGTAACAGTTGAAGTTTATTGAAGAAGATTATGAATCATACCTAGATTTTACTTTTTATCCAAATTTTTTTTATTTATATTTAATTGTAAAATTTTTCAAACGTATAGAGAAGAGAATTGTAAAATTACCCACCACTCAGATTCTACCATTGACATTTTATTGTACTTGCTTTATTGCATATCTGCCCATCCTTCCATCCATCCTTCTTACTTTTTGTACATTTCAAAGTAAGTTTCAGACATCAGTACATTTTTTAAAAACTTCGTATTTTGAAATTTTAAAAACATTCCCAAAAGCAGAAAAAACAGTATTAGGAAGCCCCATATACCCATTACTCTGATCCACCAATTGTCAACATTTTGCAAGTTGTTATGGATTGAATTATGTTCCCCCCCCCCAAAAAAAAATATGTGTTGTAAATCCTAATCTCTGCCTGTGGTTATAATCCCATTTGTGAATGGGTTGTGTTTCTTATGTTAATGAGGCAGGATTAGGGTATATTTTGAGTCACTCTATTTTAAGATATAAAAGAGATGAAATAAGCAAGTGAGAGAGGTAGAGATGGGGGAAGAGAAATGCCAAGCCACATGAAGATTGTCTAGGAGCAGAAGCCCAGAAGAGACTAGGTCTTTCCTCCAGAGTCGACAGCTCAAATTTGGACTTCTAGCCTCCTAAACTGTGAGAAAATAAATTTCTGATTGTTAAAGCCACCCACTTATGGTATTTCTGTTATAGCAGCACTAGATAACTAAGACATCAGTCTTATTTTATCTCCTTCCCTCACCCACACTTTTTTTTTCTTGACTAGTTTAAAATAGACAGCATATCATTTCACTCATAAGTCCTTGTATCTCTAACATAAAAGAATTTAACACATTACCATTTGACAAAATCAACAAAATTCCTTAATTTAGTCCTTGTCAGTTTTCCCTAATTGTCTCAAACAATGTCTTTTTACATTTTCTTTGTTTGAATCAGAATCCAATAAGGTCCACACATTACAATTAAATCTCTTTTCATTCTTTTTTGATGTTGCTCCTCAGAGTCTGTAATTTCAATTGCCCCATCTTCAAGTTTCCTGATTCTTTTATTCTGCCAGTTCGGATCTGCTGTTAATCCCCTCCAGTGGAATTTTTCATTTCAGTGTTGTATTTTCTAGCTGTAGTATTTCTGTATGGTTCTTTTTAAAAATTTCTGTCTGTTGAAATTCTCATTTTGTTCCTGTATCATTCTGATTTCCTTTAGTTCTTTGCATTTTTCTTTATCTCTTTGAGCATATTTTTAATTCCATTGTTTTAGAGTCTTTGTCTAATAAGTCCATTATCTATTCTTCCTCAGGGGCAGGTTCTGTCCCTTTATTTTATTCTTTTACATGGGACATCCTTTTTTACTTCAGTGTATGCCTTGTGATTTTTTTGTTGAAACCAGGAGATTAGACTATTATAATGCAGTAACTCTGGAGGTCAATTCTTCTGGGAGTGCAGCTGTCACTAATTTAAGACCAGGCTGCTTGTCTCAGAGTGCTGGCTGTCACACCTTTATCAGCAGTCTCCCTCTTTGGGAAAGTGGGCTGTTGCCTCTTTAACACCAGGCTACCTACCTGAGAGTGTTGGCTGTCACTGCTTTAAGACCAGGATCCCTGTCTGGGTGTGTTAGCCACTGCAGCCAGCCACACTGAGCCAGGGAGGGGGTAGTATGGTATGGACAGGTGAAAATCCAAAGCTCTCCTTCCATGTATATGTCACCTTTTTTCTTGATTCAGCATTTGCTTAGATGCTGTGAACCTCTGACTGATTGCCAGAGTTCTCAGATTATTGATTGATTCTACCAACTTCTGCTTGTGTTTTTTTTTGTTGTTTGTTTTCTTGTGGGAGGACAAGAAAGTGTAACTGCTTATGCCACCGTCTTGCTCTGCCTCTGGTGTTCTAAATTTCTTTTAATTTTATAATATTCTCTCCCTTCATTTTTCATACCATATTGATTTGTTGAAGAAGTTGGCTCATTTGTCTTGGAGAATTCACCTTCTGGATTTGGCTGATTATATCCTTGAGTTTTGTTTAACCAGTTCCTCTCTTTCCTTTATTGCCTGTAAACTGGTGGTTAGATCCAGATGTGATTACATTCTAGGCCAGTTATCTTGGCAAGACAACTTCATAGGTGGTGCTGGTACTTCTTAACGACATCTCCTCAGGAAGCACATGATATGTGATCATCCCATTGTTAGTAATGTAAAGACTGATCTTTGGATTCAGGCGCAATCTTCAGAAAATTATGGTCAATTCTAGGTTCATTCATTAATGTGGACTTACAAGATGGTCACTTTTCTAATTCAATCATTTCTTCTGCATTTATTAATTGGAAGAACTTTTCCTCACCAGTTACTTGGTAACTCTGAAATGCATTTTTTTTTTTAACCGCAAAGGCAGGATAAACGCTTGATTCTATCCCTTTATTTATCAATGTTCAGAATAACGAGTTATCCTGGCAACCTCCAAAGGTTTTTTTTAAATTTATTTTTTATTATTATTTGTTATTTTTTTAAATGAACTCATAGATTTTTATGTATTTGCCATGTTGCCATGCATTGCAGTCATTATTCTTTTTGTTACTGCAGTTGCCCCCATCTTTGGCCAGTGGGATTCCCTTCAGGGTGGCCTCTGAGTCGTTTCGACACAACTTAGTGATCTTTGATAGCTTCCTTACTTTCTGGTATGACCAGATGTTCAGAACTCATCTTGTACATTTCCTGCCCCAGACCTGAAATAGGGCATTTCTCAAAGAGGCCCTAGTTCCTTTTAGTATCTAGATAGCACAGTCCAGGCAGAAACATAGGATTACTTTGTAACTTTTTCCTACTAGTTTATTTTTTAATTATAAGTAGGCCATAGTAAAAGTATAAGAAAGAAACTGTTGTTAAGATAGAAATGTGATCTATTTCTCTCAACAGCATTTATGAGGAGCCTGACCATGCCTAAAATCGCTCTACAAGCCTTAAAAAATCCTGCTGGCCTGGCCACACCCCAGACCAATTTCAGCAGACATTTAGATATTCTATAGAATTTTGCAAAGCTCCCAGGTGGTTCAAGTGTGCTGACAAGGCTAAGCATGTTCGTCCAGCAGTGAAACTTACCTTATGCCATGGAATTCTAACTGCAAACCAAATAACTAGGATAAAGAATCACTTGGGCACTAGCCATACAAACAGTGAAGTGCAGCAGGCAACACAGAATGACTATTAGGTGGAAAATATGCTTATTTTAAAGGTAGATATCAAAGATCACTTACATAGGTATTAAATTTTAGAAACATCCAAACAATATCTGTTATTGTTGAGGATTTTTTTTTTTTTAATCACACCCAGTATATGAAGAATGGTTTGTTACCATGGATGGCATGGGGGGACAGGTGAGCTTCCAAGATAAGATAGCTTGCCTGTGCTGTTACAGGGCCCTTGCTGGTGTCCAGCAAATTCCAGCAGTCTTGGTTATACATGTTTTAAAGGACAGCAACTCTTTCAGCATATAAAATTGTAAAAACACAAAAGTATCAATTATATATCTCATTATTTGATCCACAGGACAGATAAAAACCAAGAGAATACAGAATATGTTTAAAAACAAAACCCATTGCTGTCGAGTCGATTCCAACTAGGGCTCCCTAAAATCTAGCTTTAATCATTGTGTTCTCTTGGATTAGGATAACTAGACTTGTGGTAAATTTCATGTGGCTACACAGACATACACAAATGAGTGTGTGTAAAAACTGGTGAAATCAAAGTGAGAGCTGTAGTTGAGTTGATTGTATTGTATCAATGTCAAGTTTCCTGCTTTTAATAATGTACTGTAGTTATAGAAGATTTTATCAGTGGGGGTACTAGGTAGCGGGTACACAGGATCCTCTGTACTATTTTTGTAACTTCTTGCGAGTCTAAAATTATTTCAAAATAAAAAAGAAGATACCTGGACTCTGGAAAATCCCTTTGTTTAGAATATCTTAGGTTCCAGCCATTTCTGCATTCACTATCTTTAGTAACTTGATTATGGAGCTCTTTAAAAATATGTATGGCTGCTAACCAAAAGGTTGGCAGTTCAAGTCCACCGGCCACTCCTTGGAAACCCTATGGGGCAGTTCTACTCTGTCCTATAGGGTCTCTGAGTTGGAATCGACTCACTGACAATAGGTTTGGGCTTGGGTTCTAAAAATATGTATGTCTCATTGGTAACCAAATATTATAAATTTGTATTGTGTCCACTGTTTCTGTCTTATAGATCTGAACAACCACCACACTCAGACTTACTGAGGGCACAATTGAGTCAGCATGTCACTATCTTGAACGAACAAGATAGTTCTCTCACAGAAGAGATAGCTAAGCCCTTTGAAGTTTCCACAGTAAGAAATGAGCACCAGAGGATGAAGGTTAGTCTTTTTTTTTTTTTTTTAATAAGTTTCAAGTTGTAGAAGTTATTAATTTGAGGTAATAGTTGTGTTCTTAAGAATAATTAACATATTTGAATAAAAAAGGTAATGGTAAGGAAAGTAATGATAAGTGAGATTTGGTTTTGGGGGCTTTGTTGTTTTAACTTTCTGATCTCAGGCTTTTTGAATAACGTGTTTTGTATAGGAATCCCAATTCCTGACATTGTTAATTCAGGTCCTGGAGCTAACCTAATTAAACATATCTACCACAACATTTTCTAAGGAACTTATAAACATCATGTAACAGTTTGGTTTTCTGTCTCCACTCCATACTTTAAAAATACTATATATCATGTCAGTTCAGCAAATATATATTAATCTGTTACTGTACACTGGTACCAGTGTACCAGAAAAGAGATAAATAAAATGTGACCCCTCCTTCTGGAAATAATGATGTCATTTGGCATTGTGGGATGAGCGTAGTAAGAAAATGTCTAAGAACATGGACCTTCAGGTAAGGCGGTGAGCCATCTGGAGGAGCCATGAGGACAGACTTTGGGATGGAGGAGAGGGAAGAGGCATGCCAGGGGACCATCAAAAGATTGACAGGATTTTGACAGGCTAAGAGCCCTGGTGGCACAGTGGTTGAGCACTTGGCTGCTAACCAAAAGGTTGGCAGTTTGAACCCACCAGCTGCCCTGCGGGGAGAAAGATGTAGCACTCTGCTTCCATAAAGATTACAGCCGTTAAAACCCTGTGGGCAGTTCTACTCTGTCCTTTTGGGTCGATATGAGTCAAAATCGACTTGACGGCAGTGGGTAAGAGTGCAGGGTGAAGGGCAAGGGCAACTGGAAAGGGCTGTTGTGGGCAAAAGAACAGGCTGGGAAACCTCACACATATCCCGGAAACAGGGCTACAGGGCAGGGCTCAGGTCTGGGGGTGCCCCGTGGTTATGAGATGAAGCCCAAGAGGTAGTCAGGGCTATGCTGCACAGAGTTTTTATCCCTATACCAGGAAGTTTGTGTTTTAATTTAATAGATTCTGGAAATCATTGAGCTTTTAGAACAGGGCTATAAGATGATTTCTGCAGTATCTTAGAGAATTCCTTCTGTTTGGGTTGGGACAGACAGTGGAGGAGGGAACACCGCAGTGGTTCAGACAAGCGGTTAGGAGCAGGTGCAGAGGGGGAGTTTGAAGATGATGAACAAGAACTGATGGGACAAATTCCCAAGGAAAGCACAAGGGGTGAACACAGAAGCCCAGATCTAGAGCTTTCCCATTCCAGTACCCATCATTCATGAGAGAAGCCATATTCAGAGAGATGGTCTCTCTTTTAAGTTCAATGTCTTATGGATTCATCTTGTTTCAAAATATATTTTTTATTCTTATATGTTGTCTTAGTTATCTAGTGCTGCTATAAAAGAAATACCACAAGTGGATGGTTTTAACAAAGAGAAGTTTATTCCCTTACAGTAAAGTAGGCTAAAAGTCCAAATTCAGGGTGTCAGCTCCAGGGGAAGGCTTTCTCTCTCTGTTGGCCTTCTCATCAGTGTTCCCCTGGACTAGGAGCTTCTCAGCACAGGGACCCCCGGCCAAAGGACGCACTGCTCCTGGCACTGCTTTCTTGATGATATAAGGTCCCCCTCATCTGTCTGCTCACTTATGTCTTTTTTATCCCAAGAGATTGCCCCAGGACATAGTCCAATCTTGTAGATTGAGTCCTGCCTCACTAACACAACTGCCACCCATCCTCCCTCATTAACATCGTAGAGGCAGGATTTACAACATACGGGAAGATCACACGATACCTGGAATAATGGCCCAGCCAAACTGATAGACACATTTTTGGGGGGACATAATTCAATCCATGACATATGTAATACACTGTTTTCTGGCTTTGATTTTTTAAAATAACATTATGTTTTCGGTGAAAGTTTACACAGCAGTTTAGGTGCCTGTTCAACAGTTCCTACACAGATTGTTTGGTGACATTGGTTACATTCTTCATGATGTGTGAACTTTCTCATTATTTCTGTTCTGTTTTGTTTCCATTAATTTAGTTTCCCTATGCCCTTACACTCTCATCTTTGTTTCAAAGTAATTGTTGATCGTTTAATCTCATGTACATGATTTTTTTTTTAATTTTGTTATTGTATTTTAGGTGAAGGTTTACAGAACAAACAGTTTCTCATTAAACAGTACCCATATTGCCGTATGACAATGGTTAACAACCACAACCCCACAGCATGTCAACACTGTCCTTACTCAAACTTGGGTTCCCTGTCACCAGCTTTCCTGTCCTCTTCTGCCTTCTAGTCATTGTCCCTGGACTGCTGTGCCTCCTTAGTCCCGTTTTGTTTTATGGGACTGTCCAGTCCCCAGCTGAACGGTGAACCTCGGTAGTGACTTCACCACTGAGCTAAAAGGGTGTCCGGGGGCATACTCTTGGGGTTTTTTCAGTCTCTGTCAGGCCAGTAAATCTTGTCTTTTTTGTGTGTGTTAGAATTTTGTTCTACATCCTTCTCCAGCTCTGTTCAGAACCCTCTGTTGTGATCCTGGTCAGAGCAGTCAGTGGTGATAGCCACGCACCATCTAGCTGTACTGGACTCAGTCTTTTGGAGGCCTTGGTAGCTGTGGTCCATTAGTCCTTTGGACCAATCTTTTCCTTGTATTCTGTTCTCTTCACTCTCCCTTGCTCCCGAAGGGGTGAGACCAGTGGGGTATCTTAGGTGGCTGCTCACGGGCTTTTAAGACCCCAGACACTACTCACTAAAGTAGAATGTAGAACATTGTCTTTCTAAACTGTGTTATGCCAGTTGAGCTAGATGTTGCCTGAGACCATGGTCCCCACAGCCCTCTGCCCAACAATTCAGTCCCTCAGGGAGTTTGGATGTGTCTATGGAGCTTCCATGACCTTTCCTTGTACAAGTTGTGCTGGCTTCCCCAGTATTGTGTGCTGTCTTACCCTTCACCAAAGTTACCACTTATCTATTATTACTTGGTATTGCCTTGCCTTCCTCTCCATTAGAAGGTTCTATACCTACACCATTTATTCCCTCTTTTATTGTTCTGATGTTGTTGTCATTTACAGATTAACTGCTCTGATTCCCTGTTGTATTTCTTTTGGTTTTGGATAGTCCTTGAGTGTTCATTTACTGGATTGGTCTCTGGCTGGTATGATCTACATCCTAGATTCAGCCTGTGAGCTGATGGTGTTTGTTCTCAGATCGAAGGAGTCCCTTCAATAAGTCTTGTAAGTTTGGTTTGGTTTTTACACAGTCCCTTAATTTCTGTTTATCTGGAAATGACCTAATTTCACCATCATGTTTGGGTGAGAGTTTTACAGGATATATTATTCTTGGCTGGCAATTTTTTTCTTTCAAGGTTTTATATATGTCATCCCATTGCCTTCTTGCCTGCATGGTTTCTGCCAGGTAATCTGAGCTTAGTCTTATTGTTTCTCATCTGTATGTGACTTTTTGTTTTTCTTGAGCTGCTCTCAGGATTCTTTGTCTTTGGTTTTGGCGAGTTGTGATTATGATATGCCTTGGTGATTTTCTTTTTGGGGTCTGTGCTGTATGGGGTTTGTTGGGCTTCTTGGATGGCCAGCTTTTCATCTTTCATGATATTGGGGATGTTTTCTGTCAGCAGTTCTTCAATGATCCTCTCTGTGTTTTCTGTTGTCTCCCCCTGTTCTGGAACTCCAATCACTCGTACATTTTTGCTTTTGATTGTATCCCACATAATTCTCAGGTCTCTTCATTTTTCTTCTTTCTTTTTTCTGATTTTTCCTCAAACAGAGTTGTATCCAAGTGTTTGTCTTCACTTTCACTGATCCTGTCTTCCACCATTTCAAACCTGCTCCTCAGCTCTTCTGTGACACTATTTCTGAAATCTTGTTGTTTATCTTTTGGATTTCTAATTGTTGTTTTTGTATGATTTCTAGTTGTGAATTTATTTTGGCATTTTGTTCCTGCATTATTTTCCTGAATTATTCCATCTTTTTGTTGGTATTTTCCATGAATTTGTCTGCCTTTTCCATGAATTTGTCTATTTTTTCCTCATTTTTGTCTGCTTTTTGCTTCAACTCTTGGACAGCTCTGACTATTAGAGATTTAAATTCCCTATCGGGTAGTTCTAGTGCCTTTTCTTCTACTGGAAAGAGTCATCTGTTGTTTTATTTTGGACGCCTAGTGGAACCATCCTGTCCTGTTTTTGTAAATGTTTTGATATTGTCTGCTGTCTTCGGGAGCATTTGGTAGTTATTTTTCTCATTTATTGACTGTAGATTTGTTTGTTTCATCCTATTGTTTTATTTGGCTATCTCTGAGCAGGCGGGCTGTGTGTTCTTTGTTGTTTGCTCATCTGTGGGCACAATATTTTTCACCTCCTTCTCCAGTTGGCAGGGTCAATCGCTCAGATATGGAACAGCAGGGCAGGTCTAGCTGAAGAGGAGTTGCCGGGATGGGTTGTTTGTGGCACTTACTACAGCCACCAGGGCAGGCCAGTAATCAGTGGAGGGCAAGTTCCGGTAGGCTGTGCCGTGCTGCTTGGTGGTGTGATGTTCAGCACACAGTGCAGGTAGGCAGGATGGAGAAGGGAGATTGTGGTGTGTGGAGCTAAGATGGATATGGGAGATAGGAGAGAGGAACAGGGGCCAAAAACATACAAACAAACAAAAAAGAGTGCTAGGGGAGCTTCCCATTGGAGTGGAGAGATGAGCGACTATGAAATGGAGGGGAAAAAAAGGGAGAAAAAGAGGGAAAAAATGAATAAATAAAAATTAGAAAGCAAAAAGAAAAGCTCCCAGGGATCCCACCAGTGTGGCTGTGAGGTCTGGGGAAGTTGCTCTCAGGCCATGAAGTGCAGCCTGGCTAGAAGGGGTAGAGGTGTCACTCGGCGCCAGGTATTCAGAGGACAGGAAGAGAAAGAAAGTATAGAGAGAAAAGAAACTGAGTAATGAAGAAAGACAAAAAGGGAGAAAGAGGGAAAAGAAAACA